AGAATGAGAGACACCAGCTACCTCCTTCTCCTGAGGTGGAACTATAGCTGGGGGAAAAGGAGACCTCATCATCTTTGCCACTTGTCCAGGATAGAGTTCCATAATATGGAGCTAAGGAGGGGAGATGGGAGCTGGTCATAGCTCAAATGCCACAGATTCTTACCAAGATTTTCTTATATAAATATTTCTCAATTTTCTGTATGCCCTCAGGACAATTTCCAGAGACATTAAATACCTGTTTTTAAAAATAATTTTCACCAGTTAAATAGCTTTTTTTCTAGAGAGAGAATCAACTGAGTTCCTCATGCAGCCGTTCTGGAAGTCCAAAATCAAAGTTTAAAAAAATTTCCAAACATTTGGGAATTTTCAAAATATTTTTCTGTTATTAGTTTCTGATTTAATGCTGTTATGATCTGAGGACATATTTTATATAGTTTTAATTCTTTTAAATTTGTTACCATTTGTTTAATGGCCACTAATGTGCATCTTGGTATATGTTCCATGTACACTTGAAAAAAAGTGTATTCTGCTGTTGTTAGGTTAGAATATTCTATAAATGTCAATTAGGTCTAATTCATTGATAGTGTTTTTGCAGATTTCATATATACTTACTGGTTCTCTGTGTACTTGTTCTATCCATTATTAAGAAAAACATGTTGAAGTTCTAAATTCTAATTGTGGTTAGAATGTCTTTTTCTCCTTGTTTTGTAAATTTTGAAGATCTGTTGTTAGGTACATTTAGGTGCATACTTAGTATTTTTTTATCATTATGTAGTTAATGTCTCTGTTTATCCCTGAAACTATTTGTTCTGATGTTGACTTTGCCCGATAGTAATATAGCCACTACTTCTTTTGATTAGTGTTTGCATCTGTTGACCTTAAACAAATAGAGAGCCAGTTATTTCTCCAGCAAAAATGGGTTTAATTGGAATCAACAACGAATTGCAATTTGGAATCTGCAACCATGATGAGCCACAAAGAGAGTGTAAGTTCTGAGCAACAAAGAGAGGAGAAATTCCTTTATAGAGGGGAAGAGGAAGTTGCGAGGGCTATTGTAAGCAAAGAGTCCATTGGAGGAATTGAGAATTAGAAGTGTAATGGTTTTTCACTGGGTGAGTTATGGCAGTCTCTCATTGGCTGAGCTCTTGCTCAGCCAGAACAAGAAGTCTTTCTTTTTCCTGTTGGGCTCTGCCATCATTGTAGCGCAAGAGAGCCACCCCTTCTGGCCTCCTGACTCCATTTTAAATGAGGTTTCTGTTTATTAATTTTTACACATTGTGTATCATATTGTATCCTTTTCCCTATAACCTATCTATGTCTTTATATTTAAGGTGGGCATATAGTTGAGTGGTGCTTTTTTAAAAAAGTCCAGTCTGACAATCTATTTAATTTATGTAATAGAACATGAACATGAATTAATAGAAGCATTAACTCATTTAATAGGACGTTTACCTTTAGTGTAAGTATTGACATTGTTTGATCAAAATTTACCGTCTTGCTAGTTGTTTTCTATTTGTACTGTCTCTTGTTTCTCTTTTCCTCTGTTCTGGCTTTCTTTTAAATTAATGGGGTATTTTTTATGATTCTATTTTATCTGCACTGTTGTTTTATTCACAGTTATTTAGTTTTTTTTCTGGTTTCCCTTGAGTTTACATTGTATATCTTTAATTAATTGCCCTCTTCCTTCAAATAATTGTATCTTCTTTTTAGGTGGTGCAAGGACCTTATAACAGTATGCTCTCTATTCTTCTCACCCATTCTGTATCAGTTGCCAATCTGTATGGCAAAGTCATTTTGATGATAACTAATGTTTTTTGAATCACAAGTTATGTCAAGCTGCTTTATACAGTTCCTGTGCTGTCAAAAGTTAAAACAAGAAGATATGCATTCCCACACAAATTTGCAGTAGATATATTTTCTGAGCTTTCTGCTATGGTTTCAGAAACAGTTTTTGGACTTCAATGTAAGTGCAAAAGAAATTTGCATATTTCAAAATCCATTTAACTGTGCCATTGAGGAGCTTCCACCTAAACTTTAATAAAGTGATTACTTTGCAATGTAATGACATGATAAAAGGCAAATATCAAGAGAAGAACCTAAAAGAATTCAATAAATGCCTTTCGAGTGAAGAATATGCTCCAAGTCGTAAGTTCATGTATTAAGATCAGCACTTGGCAGCACTTATCTGCATAAAAAGACATTTTAAAAGATGAAATGCATAAAATATCATTACAGATCACCGTTAACAGAAAATTTGCAATTGATTTTGATGATAGGGAACATTATCTTTGAATCCCAATTAAGTAACATGTTATTCTCCCAAAAAAGAATTCTGTTCTTCTCACTACTAGATCTGTATTACAAAATATTGTACCCAATTAGTATTATTACTATATTTTTGTGGAAAATTTTCCTTCTTCTTATATAAAAACCTACACAATATCCTCAATTTACCTGATGGTTGACAAACCCTAAAATATTTGCTATCTGGCCCTTTATAGAAAACGTTTATTGACCTCTGAATTAGAGCCTTCAAATATATTCATCACAGTATTTAAAATTCCCTATGTGATAGTTCCAAACTCCATGTCATATCTGAATCTAGTTTTGTTGATTGGTTTGTCTCTTGACATTTGTCGTTTATTTTTTGTTTCATTGTGTATCTCACCATTTTTGGTCAAAAGCTAGTCATCTTGTGTAGGATAGCAGAGACTTAGGTAAACACTGTTTATACCCAGAAATGGGCCTGTCTTTAGTGGGGAGTGTTGAGACAATCATGTCCTGTTTTGTTGTTGCTGTGGTTACCCTCAATATGCTGCAGACTTCAAATTCTAGTGTTATATTTTTCTTAGAGTGGTGGGTGATTTGTTGGAGAGTTTTTCTCAGTGTCTCTTCCACTCTGAGCTGTCAGTCTTCTCTTTGTGCCTATGTCTCACAGGGGATGTCTCTCCATGCTTTTACTCCCTCCTCCAGCAGTAGACAGCTGTTACTTGCTAGCCTGGTAGTGGAGGGAGGAGGGGGGCATTCTTTGTTGCTCTGGTTCAGACTCACTCTTAGGCAGGTGCTATATTCTTGGCTCTCAGAATAGGCCTTCTCAGTCACCTTGACCCTCTCCTAGCGTAGGAGATCTCTAAAAGTCTGGTCCAGGACAATTTCCTGCTTTTCTCCCAGAGGTAGAGGTTATTTTATGTTCTCTTCACCAAGTAGGCTTTCATGGGTACCCTGAATATGATAGTTTTATGCCCTTCTCCCAGTTGCATGAGGCTTCTTCTTCTTTTTTTGGCTGCACGAGGGGAGGGGGAACAGAATTCGAAGGATCCAGGCCAGCCTTCCTGTCTTTCCCAGAGTAGCTCCTGCTCACCTCCCCAAAGACTGTACTGTAAACAAGGCTTTCTCTAGACTCTTGCCCTGCCCCTAATCTTTCTCATGAACACTTCATGAAAGTTTGTGGAGAAGGGCCGATGAGTGCAAATTTCTCTTGTGTCTGCAGCTCCCAGAAGTTCTAAAGTCTTACACTAGCCTGCACTTTGCCTTTTACAGTTCATTAAAAGCCAACAGGCTGCCACGATAGATGTTACTGTGGAAATGAAAAATACAAGGACTGTGAGGAGGGCTGGTTATGTCTTACTGCACTAATGATTTTAAAGAAAGAAAATGGCAACCCTGAATTTTAGCTTCTCATTAAAAGCTTCTATGATTTCTCTTAAATAATTTCAAATACCTTATAACTGCAGGGTTGATGTAGTTGACAATAAGATGTAGTATCTGATCTTTTGGGTTGCTGAATTTCAACATAAGTTGACTTAACAGCTTCATCAGAACTCTTACAGAAAAGTTAGGGCACTGATTGGGAAAGAATGAGGCCCTGAAAATTTAAATGGGGACACATTTGGCTAGATTTAGGTTACCCTGACTCCCAGTCACACTGAACTTCTCTTGCTAACAGAAACAGTACCTCCTCCCATTTGATAAGGCTGGTCCTCTCTACCTTAGAGACACTGTAATGACTTATTCTGAGGAAATTACATTATAAGGGCATGCCAATTTTCCACCTATACCACCCCATCCAGTCTTCACTGCCTCTAGACCTAATAACTAGAGTAAGATCCCATCATGCTCTAGGACAGGTGCAAGTATCACTCAGGAGGAGAAGGCTTCCTTACAGAAAGAATTGCAAGATTTTGCTAATCCACATTGGAAGGAACCAGGAGTATAAGTACAGGATTGAATTCTAAGGACTGTTGATTGGGGAGGCTTGGGCCCAAATTTATCAGGAGTATGCTTACCAGAAATTCTGAATTCAGTTTGCTGGTTCAGGCAGGTGGGAATGATTCTACATGTTTACCTGGTTGTTTTAAACCTGAACTCAATGGTGAACCACACTGAAGGAAGTTGATACGCCAGAAATTCCTCGGTTTAATGTAGAGAAAGGAATGCAAAGAGTTAGAGAGTGGAGAATATTGTAATGAATTCATGATGTATGATCTGCTCCCTCACTCCTCTGAACTTCAAGAGGGCCTTAGAGAATAACCCCTTCACTAAGACATTGAAAAATAAATTGTGAGGGAAGCACCCATATCCCTGAAAAATATTGTAACTGGCTGTCCTCTTTTGGCTGGGAAAAAGTGGGAAATACTGCAATTCAAAAGTTGTTGTTGTGTTTTTCCCCTTACTTCAACAGGGATGATGAAGCCCAGAGAGGCAGAGGCCTAGGAGAAGCACTTAGGCAACAAAGACAAAAGGATGACCTACCTGAATAGATATGAGGGACATGAGCTAATAATAATGAATTGACTTGGGGGTACGTTGGTGGTCACTAATTTTTGAAGGCATCCCTACGACCGAAACAGAATAGCAGCCTACTCCCTTGTCTAACCTACTTAATCTGTATAGTCCCCCTACCCCCAAATCTAGGTCTGATGAAGGAAGCCCTGACTTGAGGAGCCATTATAGAGAATTAAGTCTCCTTAACTCATTCCCAGACGGCCTATCCTCACCAGCTACAGGCCAGGTATCACACCAGAAAAGGGCAGGGGCGTCAAAAATCCTAAATTGGGAGGTCCCTATTAGGGGCAGTTTCCTCAGAAGCACCCTAACCCTTCGGCCCTGGCAGGGTTCTGGCTGGACACCGTCTGGAGTGAGGGTCTGAGTGAAACCGAGAGCGCGACATTTCCCGCTTCCCCTGGACCCTTGCCGGCCAGGATCCGCTACTCCTGCCCCTCGACCACCGCCCCCCTGGCCCGGCCCCGCCCCTGCGCACCCCCCGGTTTGCCTCCAGGCCGCGAAGGGGCGCCGCGAGAGGGCCGAGGCCGCGGCGGTGCCGATGGCATCCCCGGCGGCCCCCGTGGCGGCGGCTCCCTGGGCCTCCTGGTCTGGCTCCTGCTCCTTCAGCCCGGGCTCAGTGAGGCCTGGGCGGGCGGGGACGGAGCGCAGGGGGGGTTGGCCCCGCCCCCATCCTCTCCGCCCCCCTCAGGGGTTGGCCTCGAGGACCCCAGGGCGAGCCTGCGGACGCCGCCGCCTGAAGGGGTTCCGGGATCCTCTGGGGCCCCCCGAATCCCATATGACCGCGGTCTCCCCTGATTTGGTGGCGTTTACCCCAGGTGACCTCGCGTTGGGAGTCAGAGGAGAAGGCTGAGGCGCCAGAGTGGGACCTGGGGCTCCCTGGGGGTCGGGGGTGGGGGGAACCAGGTTCTGCCCTTGGGGGGTCTGCCTGTGGAGTCTGGGGGGGACACGATTCGGCCTTGGGAGGTCAGTGAGTCCATGGCCTGGGGACTGGGAAGCACTGCCCTGGGGTCTGAGAGGACCTGGCCTTCTTGGCTGTCTGGGGGGCATCTGGTGCTTTCCCAGGAAGCCCGGGGCTCAGGGAACGCAGGGCCTGTTTCTTTGAGGTTCTTTTTCCTACACTGTCCTCGCCCTAGTGTGTGGCTGAGTGATCATGAAAATGTTGGGAGGAAAGGAGGCAGAAGAAGGTGAGTGGCCCTGGCAGGTGAGCGTGAGGATCAGTGGCAGACATGTATGTGGAGGTTCCCTTGTCACAAAGCAGTGGGTGCTCACTGCAGGCCACTGGATTTTAAAGTGAGGACTCACTCCATGAGCAAGTGGAGACATGAGAGTTCTGGAGTTGGTCCTGCCCTCCTCAAACGCCCACTAAGTTCTGTTCCCCGGGCAAGTTGGCAAAAACCAAACCTAAACCAAACCAAACCAAAGCACACACAACAAAAATGGGAGGGGTTCTGCACTGGTAGTCATGTGACTAGGAATACTAGTTCCATGAACAAAACCAATTGTTTGGGTGAGCAAACCAATTCTGAACATCATTAAGGAGGGGTTTTGGTGATAGGGTGGTAGAGGGAGTGGTGAGGGAGGTTGGGGCCAGATTAGGAAAAGTGTGAAATCTATGAAAAAGGCACAAGGGATGCTTCCCAGGGTCTCTGTGAGTGGCATGCCCTCTCTCCCACAGCCGTTTCCACTACAGCGTCAAGATGGGAAGTTGGAGTGTCTATAAAGAAATCACAAGTATGGTGTGGTCCCTATCCAAAACGTCATTGTCCACTCTCAGTTCTCAAGTTGGAACCATTCAAAACGACCCTGCCCTTCTTCAGCTCCTCTACCCTATAAATTTCGCCATGACCATCCAGCCTGTATGCATCCCTAAGGAGACTTTCCAGGTGGAAGCTGGGACCAGGTGCTGGGTGACCGGATGGGGCAGAAGAGAAGAATTTGGTGAGACTGTGAGGCAGGAAGCAAACTCGGGCAGAAGGAGGCAGCCTTATCCCTGGAGTAGGCAAGAAGGCTGAAGGGAGGGATGCAGAGGCAAACTGCTTGGCAGGTGGGTTAAGGGGGTAGCAGTTTAGCAGCAGCCAGGATAATGGTTCCCGATTGGCCTGAGCCCAGAAATTAGTTGAGGTCTTTTGTTGCAACAGATATTTGATGGCGGCCATTTAGGAAAGGCACCGGTCCTGGGAACTGGAGCTGCTCTCAGGAGAAGAAGAAATACATGGGTGAAGTCTCCTGCAGATTTGTGGGGGACCACGCCTGGCTGGTGTGGGGGTATTTTTAGGTTCCCTGAGGACAGAGCCAGATGCTATGGAGTTCTATCCAGGGTGGATATCTGCTCAGGGGGTGATGAGCTGTCTGCCCATCGGAGCTGTCCCTCACAGGAAGTACCTGCCTTGGTGAGTAGGGAATTCCTGTCCTTGGGGGTGTAGGCAGAGCCAGAAGACCCCTGTTGGTGAGGCTGTAGGGCCTCCTGTCTCTGGAAAGAGGCTGGATTTGGCACCTTTGGGGCACTACCTGCCCGGGAGTCTGTGATCCTGCTCTAAAGTAAACACACTTTACTGACACACAGGACACCTGTCACTGTTACTATTGATACTCAGAGTGACAGATGCTTGGTTATCATTTCTCAGGCTGATAGGCCTAGCCTCTTCCTGTCCTGATCTGTTCTTGCTTATCCTATCTTGTTTTGGTTCTTACCTCCTCCCTATGTCAACTTTGGGCCTTAGTTTCCTCTGGTGTCCATTGGGGACAATACCCACTGCCCTGCCTTCTTCGAGGGGGATTCTAGGTGCTGGGGGCTTACTTTCTGCCTGTGCAGATCTACCCACTGCTGTTTCTTTACTTGTAGGTGGCGAACTCTACTCATATATTCTCCAGGAGGTTGACCAGTACATCATCTACTATGACAGATGTAATCAGGTGGTCCAGAAGGCCATGTCAACAAATAAGGATGTAGTATTAAAAGGAATGATCTGTGGCTATAAAGATGCAGGAAAGGATGCCTGTCAGGTAAGTTCATGGATGGTTTCTACCTCTGCATTGAGGTTGTCCCCTCAAAGCTTCCTCATTCCCAAGTGGCAGGGCTATTTGCCACCTCTTCCTTTCGCCCCTTGACTCAGAAGATTCATGGGGAGAACCCCTCGGCGTTCCCCGAGCTGGCCTGGCCTGTTCCTTCAAAAAGGAGCAGCCCTTGCTGCCGGGGGGCGCAGAAAAAGTGTGGGGAAGTTGGGGGCGGGTAATGCTAATAAGTCCCTTTAATCAGGGCACTGACTGTGCCAGTGTGAGCGTTTACCCACATTAGCGCAGAGAACCCACCTCACAGCCTTGCAACACAGACATCGGACCTGTTACACACATGTGCTGAGGGCCACAGACGCAAGTTCAAGGTCCCCCTGTGAGGGTCTGCAGGACTCCTGGGCCCACAGTCTTCACTCTGCACCGAGCTGCCTTCCTGAGGAGGGGGGCATGTGAGCAGGGTCTTAGAGGTAGAGTATTTGGATTTCTTAGAAAGAGGAGAACAGCATAGTGGGGAGAGGGAGCAGCATGTACAGTGGCTCAGAGGTGTGAGGGAACCTGTCACATTTAGGGTGCGTTTTACAGGTCTGGAGCAATGAGGTGGCAAATATGGCCAGAGAATGGGGTTGGAGTGAGAATATGTGTGCCTGGAGTGCTGTGCCAAGTTTCTAGATACTGTCCAGGCAGGACTATAGGCCAGGAGTTTGTTTGCATCATCTAGGCAATGATGTTGAGTTCTGACTGGGACCTGGGGCAGTGGGGTGGGTGAAGGAGATGTGTTTGAGGTTGCATCATCAGTCCTTGGTGACTGACTGTATGTGAGGGTGGGGGTGAGGGAGAGGTTGAGGTGGACTCTGACTGAGCTGGTTGGTGGTGGGGCCACGAGGGTAAGCCTGGGAAAGGACATGGAGAGTTCTGCTGGAGGTGGGGGTAGAGGATGTCTGGGAGTGAAGCTTAAAATACGGGGGCGGGGCTGGCCCTGGGTTGCCGGTTTGGATCCTGGGCGCGGACCTACTCACTGCTCATTCATCAAGCCATGCTGAGGCGGCGTCCCACGTAGAAGAGTTACAACTCTACGGCTATGATACACAACTAGTATTGGGGCTTTGGGGAGAAAAAAAAGAAAAAGAGGAAGATTGGCAACAGATGTTAGCACTGGGCCAATCTTCCTCAAAAAAAAAAAAAAGATAAAAGTTGTTTGACCATGGATCTTTTTAAAAAAAAAATATGGGGGGAGCCGGCTATATGGGTTAGGAGCACTAGAGAAACTTTAGGCTAGATGTAAGGATTTAGGAGGCTGCCGTGCAGCGGTGATATTCAAAATGTCTGACAACCACTGTGGTTTGGGAAATGACCAGTCATAATATCCTCAGAGGATATTAGAGTTTTCCTGTTAACTTTTCAATTCTCAGCTCCCATATTCTCAGAAGCCTGGGCCTGGTGGGTGCCTGACTCCCCAGCGCCTTGCAGTGCAATCAGCTTACTCTGACTAGGATCCTCTTCCATTCCTGCGTTTGTTTCTTTCTCTTTCTCCGGGGAGATTCTGGGGGCCCCCTGGTCTGTGAATTTAATGAAACGTGGGTCCAGCTGGGGATTGTGAGCTGGGGCATCGGCTGTGGTTGTAGAAATGTGCCTGCAGTTTACATAGACGTTGGTGTCTATGCTAAGTGGCTAGTCACAGTGGTGAACCAGGCTACCTCTTTGTATCTGGTGGTGTTCCTTATCCTACCCCTGTGTCTGGTGCTGCCCCTGGGCATCCTGGCGACCCCGTGATCACCCTGGCCCAGTCCCCCCATGTTTCTGAGTCTCGTACTAGGCCTCTCCTCCGACCTCCCACTCCCACTCAATGCCCTTTCCTCAAGTTCCGGTTGGGATCCACTGACCCTGTGGAGATCCACAAAACAGAGAGTGGCAGCACGACTGGCGTCCTGAAAATGTCCCAGCCTGGTGCTCTGGTCACCTGCCTCGGCCTTGCCTCTGCCTTGGATGTGCTCTGCCTGCAGGGAAGGAGGGGGGACACCACCCCAGCCAGAGGGCCAGCTGACCTGCCAGGTAGAGCATGAGGCTTCAGTGACATCTTCGAGAGCATCTACCAAAGAGACGGCAACCGTGAGACAGCATTAGCCCCAGTTGTGGTTGCACAGCTCCACCTGACGCTTTGTCAACCCAGTCAGCTTGGTGGTTGTTCAGAGAGTGAAGGAGGAGTCGCTGTGTCCCTGCTGATGTGTGAGGCCTGGGGTTTCCACATCTGACTTGGTCGTGTGGGGCTGGGAGAAGTCCCCCTGCACCCCAGTGTGGATCCATCTGTGAGTGGCCTGTCTCCGCCACACAAGCCCTCCTGGGGCAACTCAGTCTTGGAACCCCCTTCCTTGGTGCCCTAGTGGCCACATCCATGTTCACCCCAAGTTGTGCTGAGGCATTAAGGAGTGCAGAGATTTCAGATGTCAACTGAATAAACGTTTGGAGAGTCCTTTTTGTGTTCTGCGTCTCTACTGGTGTGGGGCGTGTAGACACTGAAGAGAATTTATCTCACATTTAGCTTAGGAAGATGTTCATGATGCTGTAAACCCTACAGTGAGAGGGGAGGCCCTTGCCTACCCTGCTGTGAGTCTGATAGATGGTTTTAGCATTGGGTCCTGCTGCTGTGCTCCTCCTAGCCATCAGCATCTCTGCAGGGAGCTTTGTAGCTGCATCTGGGAAGGAGGAAGCGAGAGACTGGAAGCAAGAGAGGGGTCAGGGCGTCGCATCCAAACTGCATCTCCTATTTTCTGCCTGTTTCTGCCGCCGCCTCTCTGAGTATGTAAGGCCTTCAGCAGCTGATCGCCTTGGCCAGGCTATGGGAAACACAGGGCTAAGGCTCCGGGAGAGGAGAGGTTGGGGTGCTTACGGTGTCTGTGCTGGTTCATTTCCCTCATTGCCCTGTGGTCCCGGGATAGCTCTTTGTCATGGTGCAGAGCACTTCACTGCTCCCAGTTTCCCTCTCTGTTCATGAAACTTTGAGGTTGCCTTCTATTAAGAGGCGATTGGTACGTTTTGCATACGAGAAGGAGTGCATGTGAATATTTGCGGACTGTGGTAAAGACTGATAATTGTCTGCCCTGGCACCTTTCATCGACTTCCTTCTGAGCACAAAGAGTAAAGAGTACATTTCCAAGTCTCCCATATATCTAAGTGTGGCACTAAGTTTTGGCCAATAAAGTATAAACAGAAGTGTTGGGTGTGAATTTTGGGAAATGTCCTTAGAGGGGGGACAAACCTTTCTTTGTCTTTCTTCTCTCCTGGCTGGAATGTATACATAGTGACTGGAGCTTGAGCAGCCGTCTTGGCACATGAGGAACATGCTAAGGGAACAGGAATTTTGTAGGAACTTGGCTCCCTGGAATTTGTAAGGCTGCCATCACAGCTCTTTATGCAAGAGAGAAATAAACTTCTCTTTTAATTAAGCCACTGTCATCTTTGGTCTCAGTTACTCCTTGAAAAACCTCATTCTAACTAATTCAGTTAGTATCATCCAGAGCTTTATTTCTGGATTGTTATGAATATAAGTTTATAAGGTCATTTTTATTTAGACTCAATTCTTTTTTATTCCTACTTCACTACATGCCATTGCTTCCTTCTTTATTCATTTTTTAAAATTGATAAGGTTAAAAGTATATTGATGAATGATGGTATTATCTCTTAATGCATTTCTATGTTATTATTTTCTTTTTTTGAGGTATAATTTATATGCAAATGCACACATTGCAATGTACAATTTTATGGGTTTTAACAAATGTATACCCCATATTAACATCACCTACATCATGATAGAGAACATTTCCATCAATCCTGGATGCTCCCTGGTGTCCCTTTCTAATCATCCCTTCCTAGAGGTAACCATGTTCTGATTACTCTCAGAGTAGATTTGCATGTTATTGAACCTCATATTAATGAATAATACAGCAAGTGCTCTTTTATGTCAGGCTTCTTACCGTCCACATATTGTTTTTGAGCTTCATCCAGGTTGTTATGTGTATCATTAGTTCATTCCTTTTTATTGCTGAGTAGTAATCTATTGCATGAATATTCCACAGTTTGTTTATTCTCCTGTTGATGGACATTTGGTTTGCTTCCAGTTTGGGGCTATTATGAATAAAGCTGCTAATAAACATCTAGTGCAAGACTTTGTGTCTATGTGCTTTCACTTCTTTTGGGAATAAATCTAGAAGTGGAACTGCTGGTTCATAGAACAGATGTATGGTTAACTTTATTAGAAATTTCCAAAGAGTTTTCTAAATTGGTTGTAGCATTTTACACTCCTACCAACAATAAATGAGAATTCCAGTGGATTCATATCCTCATCAGGACTGTCTTTTTTTTTTTTTTATAATTTTATTTATTTATTTTTTTCCCCCCAAAGCCCCAGGAGATAGTTCTATGTCATAGCTGTACATCCTTCTAGTTGCTGTATGTGGGACGTGGCCTCAGCATGGCCGGAGAAGCGGTGCGTCGGTGTGTGCCCGGATCTGAACCCGGGCTGCCAGCAGTGGAGCGCGCGCACTTAACTGCTAAGCCACGGGGCCAGCCCAGGACTGTCTTTTTATTTGCCCAATTCTAATAGGTATGAAGTGGTATCTCACTGAGGTTTTAATTTGCATTTCCCTGTAACTAATTATACTGAGCACCTTTTTATCTGCTATTGGTAGATCTTCTTTTGTGAAGGATCTTTTCAATTCTTTTGCCCATTTTTAATTAGGATGCTTGTCTTTTTATTGCTGATTTGTAAATAATCTTCATATATTCCAATTAGAGTCCTAAATCTGCAACTTGCTTTTTTCACTTTTTAACTGGGGGTTACAAAGATTTTCCTTCTATTTTTTCTCCTATAAGCTTTATAGTTTTAGCTTTTACATTTAAGTCTATGGCCTACAAATTAATTTTTGGTCATGGTGTGAGATAGGGATCAAGGTATACTTTTCTGTATCTTTAATGTTTACTCAGTTCTAGTACCATTTGTTGAAGATATATTTATTTTCATATTGATTTGCTTTGGTACTTCGTCAAAAACTAATCAACAGTGTATATGTGCATCTATTTCTGGACTCTATTCAGTTCCTTATCTGTTTGTATATTCTTATGCCGACTTCACAATGCCCTAATTATTGTAGCTTTATAGTTAGCATTGAAATTTGGTTGTGTTATACCTCCAAATTTGTTCACGTTTTTCACACTGGAGCTTTTTTGTAGAAATTGACAAGCTGATTCTAAAATATATATGGAAAAGCAGAGAACCTAGATAACCAAAACAAAGAACTACCAGATTTCAAGACTTATTATAAAGATATAGCAGTCAAGACAGTGTGGTATTGGCATAAGGGCAGACATATAGATCAACAGAAAAGGATAGAGTCTAAAAATGGATCCACACATATGTGGGCAATTGATTTTAACAAAGGTGCCAAGATAATTCAATAGGGGAAAGGATCATCTGTTTTTTTCATTATTTTATTGAGGTCATAATGGTTTATAACATTGTGTAATTTCAGGTGTATATTATTATTTATCAGTTTCTGTATAGACTGCATTGTGCTCACCACCAGTACTCTAATTTTTATCTGTCACCGTATATATGTGCCCCTTTACCCCTTTCGCCCACTCCCCAACCCCCTTCCTCTCTGTTAACCACTAATCTGTTCTCTTTAGGATAGGCTTTTTAATAAGTGATGCTGGAACAATGGGACATTCCTATGCAAAAAAAAAAAAAAAAAAAAGAGCCTCAATCCTTACCTTGTGCTATATAGAAAAATTAACTCAAAATGGATTATAGAACTCAATGTAAAACCTAAATCTATAAAAAACTTCTAGAAAAAAATTTAGAAGATAAATCTTTGTGACCCTTGAGTATGCAAAGATTCTTAATATAGGACACAAAAAGCATGAACCATACAATAAAAAAAATTATTGGATTTCATAAAAATGAAAATCTTCTGCTCTTTGGAAGGTACTGTTAAGAAAATGAAAATAAAAGCCACAGACTGGAAGAAAATAGTAGCAATATCCACTCAAAGACATATATGAATGTTCATAGCATCTTTATTTGTAATAGCCAGAATCTAGAAGCAACTCAAATGTCTGTCAACAGATAAATGATAATCAAGGAACTTACTACTCAGCAATAAAAAAGAATAAACTGCTGGTATACACAAGAACATGGATGAAATTCAGAAACATTATGTTGAGTGAGAGAAGCCAGACCCAGAAAGAGTACAACTTTCTGATTCCATTTATATGAAGACCAAGCAGGCAAAGCAGGTGATCAGTGGTTGCCTGTGATGGATTTGAAGAGGACACAAAGACACTTTCTGGGTTTATGAAGTGGTCTACATCTTGATTAAGGTGGTGGTTACATGGGTCTATATATTTATTGAAACATTAAATTGTGCACTTAAGATCTGTATATTTCACTGTATGCAAATTTTGCCTCAGTTTAAAAAATAGATTAATGTGTCACGTTCTAATTTAGCCCCAATGCCTATTCTCCTTCCTTTCCATAATAATAGATGTTTTATGCAATGACCTGATATCTTAGGTCATTCTGATAGTGTACCTGCAAATATTTAACAAGCAGCTCTATAGGCAAAAAAAAAAAAAAAGCCCTAATTTGTAACATTTGGAAATTTCCATGGTACAAATACTTCCACCATTGCTGATTTCAAGCTACCAACATAGCATTACTGAAAACATAGCCAGAAAACAAAAATTTGAATATATAATAGCTGAAAATTTTCCAAATTTGATAAAAACTAAAAGCCACAGATTCAAGAAGCACAATGGACCCCAAG